AAATCACATATGCCAGAAGAGCTAATCGATCATAATTTAAATTTGTGTACCCTTTAGTACCTTTGTTCTCTTATATTAGGTATTTCCAAAAATGCATTGATATCTCAACAGCACTAAATTTTATGCCATACTTATTTCCAAATTTCGCGATTCGAACTCAATAGGTTTACCCAAATCAAAAATTTAGTTTCATTTAACACACATAAGTATAAATATCTAAAACTTCCTCGTACCAAAATCGTATACTCCAGCAGCAATCTTAATTCCAAATTTAAGTATTCAACACCTATCGGTTCACTTAAATCCAAATTATATCAAATTTAGTACACATTTAGTACACATTAATATAAATTTTCATAACCAGAACATTCTTCCCAATTTCAGGATTCCTGCCCGATTGGTTCACCCAAAGCCAAATTTAGTACATTTAGTCCACATATGCACTTCATGGTACCCAAATCGTATACTCCAGCAATAATCTTAATTCAAATTTAAGAATTCAACACCTATCGGTTCACTTAAATCCAAATTGTATCGAATTTAGTTCACATTAACATAAATTTCCATAACTAAAACATTTTTCCCGATTGGTTCAGCAAATCTGAATTGTAGCAAATTCAGTATAATTTTATTCACATAAGTACGAATTTCCAAAACAAACCTACAAACCTGTATCCTATGCTCCAACTGTAATCTTAATAACAAATTTCAGGATTCCAGCTCTATCGGATAACCTAAATCCAAATTGAATCAAATTTAGTACCATTTAGTACACATATGTACTAATTTCCAAAACTACCTACATACCTCAATTCTACCCTTCAACAGTAATCGTAATCCAAAATTCAGGATTTCAGCTCTATCGATAGACATAAATCCAAATTTATTACAAACTTCAACAGTAATTTTAATTCCAAATGTCAGCTCTATCGGATCGTCTATCTCCAAATTATATCAAATTTAGTACACATTAGTACGAATTTCTAAAAATACTACATACTTACATCCTACAGCTCATCAGTGATTAAAAATCCAAATTTCAGGATCAAATATCGATTCACCCAAACTAATCGGTTTCCAAAACTACATATCCGAGTCGTACACTTCTGGCTTCAGCCGTTTCATCTTGGCTTTAAGTGAAACAGTCAATCACTTTAATCGATATGCATTTCAAGATCTATGAGATATATATGGCTATATATTGATATTAAAAAATATTTCACATTCATTTAATCTTTTAGGGAAATTTTATTATTAAATATTATTTTTTTAACTTTTAAGCAAAAAAAAATATCAACATTTTTGTGCATAAAATTTTGTTATTCCTTGAAAAATATTTTTACGCTGGAACGCCATCTATACATGTAATAACGAACTATGGTGTGTTATAGTAAAATCAACTTAGCCATAACCGCCTAAAATCATGCTGCGTTTTATGTTAGAAAATATTGTCGATAATGCAGTATTATGGAAAGGCGTGACTACATCATAGCTAGTGTTTAGAATGTAACTACACCGCAAGTATTATTTTTTTTTGAAACGTCTTAAAAACAATTAATTATTTTTTAGTAGTGAACGTTATACATATCGTGGTTATAAAATTGAACGTAAATAAAACACATTTTCATTATATATATTTTTTTTAATTATCAAGTTTAAACGCTGACATTATGTGTGATTTTTTCAATGACCTCCCGCATGCTGTTGCAGGCATCAATTCTTTTGAAGTAATTTTCGATCACTTTGTGATGGTATCTTAATCATAACTTCACGAATGTTGGTTTTTAAATGCTCAAGAGTTGAAAGTCTAAGTCTAAAGTATAAGCACGATATTTCGCGTAGCCCCATAAAATAAATCTAATGGTGTCAAATCGCATGATCTTGTTGGCCAGTTGATATCGCCATGACGAGAAATTCCGAGGCAAGAAAAAGTCTCTTGCAATAAAGCCATATTTGCTCCAGTTGTGTGGTATGTGGCAACGTCTTGTTGAAACCACATATCCGAGTCGTATTCTTCAATAGCAAGCAAAAAAGTCGGCTATCAAATGGCCATAGCTCCATCGTTGTTTCCGAAGAAGAAGTAAGATTCAATCACATCAAATAGTGACTTTTTTCTGGGTGTAATGGCCTCAATGACTTGAGAATTCTCAGGATGCCAAATACGACAATTTTGTTTATTAACATACCATGGTACAATTATTCAAGGTAGGCTAGAGCAACTTATAAATTATAATGTTTTTCATATTGTGGCTTGTTATGTCAAAGTCCTATGCAAAATGTGTGACTGCCTATGTGATGTATAGAAAAATATAAGAAATATATTCTAAAATCCATTTGTTTAAAAATGAATTTTTCAACATTTGTAAGAAGAAATTTATTATTTGTATATGAATCAATATGTAAATCATATTCCCAACTCGATTTTGAAAAGAAAAACTGACATTACATTCCTTTTTCTCGTTTTTTAGGTAAAATGTTACAAACATATGAAATGAACAGAACGATTTGTTTTAATTTATTCTGACATTATGGTCCCCACAAGGTAGGGGTGCATTTTCTCTTTGATGCCAAAAGATATAATTGTATCATAAGCTACCATACTTTTGCACTCCTAGATTTTTGAAAAATCCTAGATTTTTGAAAATATGGCGTTTCTATTGTCTAGTAACTTGTTTTCAATTTTGACATTTATAAACAAAATAAAAAAATATTTTCTTTACTTTAAATTGATTTCAGTGTATTTTTTAGTAAAATGTTCTGAAAGAAAAACAAGTCCAATTACAAAATCAAAAATGGTTTCATTTCATTTTTCCTTTTCCGGAGAAACTAAATGTGGAATTAATTCCACTTTCGATAGGAATTCATTTCTATGGCATGTCTGATAATATATATGTACTATATTGAGATAAATAATGGAAATTTACTCTGTATGTAGTACCCTGTTCTTTTATAAAATAATTAAACGCAACAAGTTCTTAGGTAATTTCTTTGACAAAATCGGTAACACCACAATAAAGTATTTTTTTCCAGAAGAAAGCTGTTACTGTTTTCTTTTCTTTTGATTTTCATTATTTTCATATATTATTATTGCATATTTATTACAATATATAGTTGACTATTTTTCTACAAGTGGCCTTTTATATCAAATTAAAATACATATGTTGTGCTTATTGTTTTGAATATTATATCAAATTAATTCAAATGAAAACCATTTACTACTGATTTCTTTTGCAGGAAATAATACTGTTATGAATGAAACAAACATTTGATGGAGACCCCTACCCGAATTTTGGAAGACGTTCTATTTATTTGTAAGTGTAAGTGACAATCATATATTATTATTTCAAAAATGGTCTTTAAATTTAGGCTTTTTTAATAATAAAAATTCAAGAAAACTACATTCATAGAGGGGGACGGAAAGGATACATAGGCTTAGTTATAACCCCGTTCGCCGATTGGTCCACGTATTTTATGTTATGTGTGGAAATCTGTCCAGAAATCCCAGCTACTCATAAAATTGAGAAGATTATGTTAGCCTATATTGGAATCGGTCCCTTGCTACTTGTCACAATTCTCGGCGGAGGTTAAATACGCCTATGGAAAGATTTTATACGGTCAACACAATTTCCATGATTTAGTCGTTGGCCGGGGATTCATGTCCTTCAATTTTTTTAAGAAGGCAAGATTTGAAGCCAGTCCATAGAAAAAATAGATTGTAATCCACAATATAAACAACATCACAAGGAGCCATAGCCTAATTGTGGGAAACTTAAAATTAATCGCGACCAGGCCTTAAACTTTTTTTTTCACTGACATAAAACCGCCAATAACACAAGAATATACAAATTCATTAATTATTATTCAAAGAATATTTCTTGACAAAAATAAATTAATAATTGTTTATTTTTATTTTTGTCAAAAACTTATTGTCAGCATGACAATCTAATTTCTATAACAACAATGTTGTTTTTGTAAAATATTTGTTGTTGTATCTGATGCATACACCTTATTAAATACACCTTGAGTTTCATGTTGAAAAATTGTCACATAAACACAACAACCCGTTGCGTATATTTATTCCATATTCGACAGCAAAAGCCACTACCCACAACAGACGTTTCCACGACAGAGGGGTCTACGATCCAAAACGACCCGAGCCTTACTCGGCCAACGTCTGTCACCTCAACCCATTGTGTAAAAGCAATAGGGCTGCTACAACAACAACAACCAATTGCTCGCGTTTCCACGACAGAGGGGTCTACGATCCGAAACGACCCGAGTCTTACTCGGCCAACGTCTGTCACCTCAGCCAATTGTGTAAACGCAATAGGGCTGCTAGAACAACAACAACGTACATAATTCGTTTCCACGACAGAGGGGTCTACGATCTGAAACGACCCGAGTCTTACTCGGCCAACGTCTGTCACCTCAGCCTTTTGTGTAAAAGCAATAGGGCTGCTACAGCAACCTACATAATTGTTTTTATTTATAAACATTAAGTTATTCTACCTTTTATTATTATACCACGTTTCTACCAGCACATTTCCAATTGATGTGCAATAATTCTTGCTCTTATAGTAAATTTATAGAGTAGCGGATTTAATTATGCCAGGGGTTTATAATTGTCAATTCCATTGCATATTTGTAAAAAAAAAAACCTACAAAAAGTTCTAATGTACATGTCGTTTTACCTAGACAATGGCTTTACATATGAAACAATATCCATATTATGTCAGTTTAAAAAATAGATTGATTTGTATAATTTTTAACTAAAACAATTTTAATAACTACATAAATTGCGCTCCACACTTAAATACCAACTGCTGACGTTCTAATTATGTGGCTACCCTCAAAACAGCAAAGTCGTTGAAATTTTGACGCCGTGACAACTGTTTTTTCCACAACGCCGTTGCCGGTAATATCCAATTAGACTCTGTGCAATTTTTGACACTTGTATTGTCAAAGTTTACCCAGAGACAAGTAAGTCTGCGCGAAATTATATAATTTTATATTGCCGAAATAAATATTTTTTATTCTTTCATTTATTTCCACAACACAATAAAAGGAACAAACTACAACAATGGCTGAAGAGAAATTAACCGGTTTGTCCAAATACTTCAACGGCTCGACCACCGCTGGCCGTGCTAATGTAAGTTGTGCAAAATGTAGTTGTGTGTTATCCAACCACGAATTGATGTCAAATATAAATTTGCAATTTAATTTTTTATTTTTGCATTCCCTCCCATTTTCTATTTTACAGGTTGGAAAGGCCACCTATGCCGTTGTTGGTTTGATCATCGCCTACAACATGATGAAGCCCAAGAAGAAGTAAACTACTTTTTCTAAAAAAAGTTTCAGCATGTGGAGTGGTTCGCTCGCCACTCCTCCCTTTAATAACATCCTCTGGTTTAAATGTTTTTTGTTCAGATGAAGGCGAGAATAGTAGTTTTTAAACATATTTATTTGTTGCGTGGATCTTAGCACTTTACAGATTCTTAATTTGTGTTTATTAAGGATTCTGTGAACCGAGGAACATTTTCGGTGTGCGCGTTGACGTTAATAAAACCACAAAAAACACAAAAAATAATCTTTTTATTGGAAGGCAGGGTGAAATAAAATATGCAAGGTTATGTTGAATATTGATAATGAAGTGGAGTCATGGCTAAACAAAAATGTTCCATATTAACTGTCATTTATAACTTTGTGTGATAATCTACAGTACTAATGTAAAATACGTAATACGAAACTTATGCCGCGGATTTTCGGTGACAGCTATTGTGGCGCTAATGGCCACTAAGAATTGTGATATTTCGTATTTTGAAAATAAACAATTTTTTAGCAGTGATTCGGAACAAGTTCAGTTTAGGGTCTCATCTCGGATTTTTCTGAAATTTTTACCAATTATAGATCTCGTCTCCCTGATCACGAAAATATATATGACTTTCATAGGGGAACTCCATACTTCGTGAGATATGGTCCTCTGAAGTTCCGAAATTCCTATGCTTATATCTTCGTCATTTATTGTCCGGTGAAGGTAATAATGGTACGGTTTTAAAGCGTACACAAGTCGAATGAAGAAATACAAGGGTACTAACGCAAATTCAAACACCCATATTCCTAGAAGAGAATAAAAACGGCTTACTATCTGAAATATAACTTACTGAGCAAGGTGTATTTAATAAGGTGTATGCATCAGATACAACAACAAATATTTTACAAAAACAACATTGTTGTTATAGAAATTAAATTGTCATGCTGACAATAAGTTTTTGACAAAAATAAACAAAAAACAAAAAAGGATTGTGACAAGCACCAATGGGCCGATTCCAATATAGGCTAACATAATCACCTCAATTGTATGAGTAGCTAGGAATTATGGATTCAGATCAGATTTCCACACATAACATAAAATATGTGTACCAATCGGCTAAGGGGGTTATAACTGATTTAATCCCAGGTTTCCTTTCCACCCGCCTCTATTAATGTAGTTTTCTTGAATTTTTATTATTAAAAAAGCCTAAATTTAAAGACCATTTTTGAAATCGAAATGTTATTGAAAATGTTTTTGACAATTTACTTTACAAACAAAAAAGAAAAAAGTTTGAAACCATATGATTGTCACTTACACCTTATTAAATACACCTTGTTACTGAGTAAATGTTACTGAATAAGTAACCAGACACAGCTAATATTCTGTGATTTAAAATAAAATGCTCAATAAATTAAACCCCATATTCATTAAAAGAAATATTGTAATTAGGCCTTATCCGCTTTAAAATTATAAAATTATATTGCTTTTACACAATGGAAGGTAGGTTATTCGATTACCCCTCTGTCGTGGAAACGTAGGTTATTCGATTAGCTTGAACTTAAATATACAAGTTTTTTAAACTGAGACTGGTATTCCTGATCTTGATTTAGGTTTGGGGCATTACATTAGGTTTATATTGGATTAACTAATTTCCAAAATGTTGCCCTCTTTTTGGGGATCTACCTGAAGGAGTGGGCCCATAAGTCATATTTTCCAGCATTATACATGTTTGATTCAAATGTTAGTTTATGCAAAGTTTGATTTAAGTCGGATGCTCTGTTCGTATGATATTAAAAATTAATTACCCGCCCAATTTTTTACCCAATTGGGGAGGTACCAGGAGTGGACTGGCATTGCCCATCTATGAACTTGATTTAGGTTTGAAAGAATTGTTGATGTGCACATTACGTGTGTATTAAACCGGACATTCCATTATGTTGACATTGGATTAATTAATTTCCGAAAAGTTTACCCTTTGTAGGGGAGGTACCAGAAAGGAGTGGACTGAAGGTTACCATCATCGGAATTAATCTATGTTTCGTAAAAGTATTACGATTTGCATCATAAAATATATTACATAAAATTTGCAATTACTTGAAAAAAAATGCAATCGGAAGCGGAGATATTGTAGAATTAGTATTAAAATATTTATTTTAATAGGTGTTTTTGAGTTAAATTTGGTCAACTTGAATATTCTCGATGTCAAAAAATTTTGAGTAGTTTGTGGTCAATAATCCTAGTTCATACGAGAGGCATACATGTACTAACACCGTTGGAATTTCCGGATGCCGATGTTCCAGTGAGGAGTTATCATGCCCGCCATCAAAAATAAGAACTTTTTAATCACCAAAAACAACAACAAAGCAATAACAATCAAATTTTGCAAATTATTTTCCTTCTCTTTTAAATCTTTAATTATGTATGTTTAAAGTTACAAACCTTAACATGCATTGGTATTAATTTACCAGACCAATGTAAATCTTTAGTCCTTCTTTAGGAAAAATATAATCTAAATTTAGGAGACGCACTTACACTACCTACATTTGCATTGGAGATGAATAGTGCAGTTCATTACCTTTGGTGTACCTTTCACAACATGCTATCAAGTTCTTGCCACAACATAATTAGGAGCAAGTCGAACATTTGGAAGAGCCGAGTGAAATTGGGATTTTATTCAGTATTTTATATTATAATCCGAACCTGTTATATCCTTGAGCAGCAATAACAAGCATGATACTAAATCGTACATGATACTAAATCGTACATTTGGGAAGACAATATTTAATTTATTCCTGATGTGTATTCTGAAAATCTGATAAATGATAAATCAATAATTAATATAGTAGCTAAAGTATGTGTAATATTTTGTTATTAATAAAAATAACAAAAACGAAATATAGTGGTGAATATAAATATTTTATAGTATATATAGTTACTTTTTCAGGGTCCTTTGTATGGTAGGTATTCTGAAACGTTAACCAACATCTAATTTGCAAAACTTTTTACTGTCTTCATCCAAATTTTCAATTTTCATCGGATTTGGGTGAATATTAAAGATTTTATAGCCCAAACCCCGATTTTTTCAAGACCCATTGTATGGTAGGAATACCCAATCTTTGTTTTTCCAGTTTTTACTGACTAGCTTTATAGGCCAAGTGTTCGGTAACAATCATAACAGCATTCTCACGGTTTACAGTCAGGGTATTCCCTATATTCTTGCGGAGTCTCTTTTCCAATTCATCGCGATAGAAATAATATTTAATTGAATTGAAAAATTAGTTTTTTTTCGTTTTAATGTTGAAAGCATCTCATCTAATAGAAATTCTGCTAGAATCTCTTTTTGCCGGACTACTTTAGGACAATTGAAGGGAGGGCTGTCCCCTTTGTTATCTTCGGCCGAACATATTTTTTATGTTCCTTTGGAAATCAACATTAAATATTCCACCGAGCATAAGAAGGCAAAATAAGTGGAGATAGAAATAAGGAAGGTCTGCCTGTGACAACACCCACGTCAGAGAAACAACCAATATCAAAGAAGTCTATATTGTTAGCCCGGTATGCACCGTATACTTCGGAGAAAACCGCTACTTAGGGTTGACAGCCTATCTGGATTGTCCAGCTTTTGTGATGCTTGTCCAGTTTCAAGCTAATACCAAAATTACATTAGCCATTTTACTTGCGGCAATTGTCAGTTCCAGCTACAAACTATAGAACTGAGGCAATTCATTGTTGTCTTGCGGTAATTCATTATTGAGGTGATTCAAATTAGGTAGAAATTATTCATAACGATGAGCTGAAGATTTAAGGAGTCTGTAAATTGACTAGCTCACCCTTTCAATTACGTGATAGGGGTTTCCTCCATTTATATTCGATGTATGTATTATAGATAGAAAGCCGTTTAAATCCTCAGAGGTATGTTCATTGGGAGGCGGCTGTTAAGATGCGCCTCTTAAGATTGGATACACTTTGGTTTGTAGAGAAAAACCCCTTGGAGGTCTTCTACAAACGGATGACCTTCTTAGATGGTATTCTATAGAATGAACATTTCTTAGTAGAAATTGAGAACCATGGAAGGGCTTCTGTAGATAGAAGATCCCTTTAAAATCATTTATATATTGAGAAAATTGTTGGGACAGAGAAGGTACCATTTTGGAGATACAATTTGCTAAGGAGGTCTTCTGCAGAAAGTATAAATTTGGAATGGTTTCTATTAGTAGAAAAGACTTCAGAAGACCCTTAAACCCTTCTATAGGCTAAAAACTCTTTAACAATTTCTCGTTTTTTTGTGTCCAGTTTTTTCTGTGGTTTGTCTAAAAGTATGACGTTCGGGTAGTCTTCGATGACGATATACACTATTCATTGTGCTATTATTCCCATTTGTCCCATAGGCTTGTCGATTTACGTTTTCCTGACAGATGCCACTACGATAGCATATTTATATTCCAACGTATATAAAGAATCTTTGACACCCCATGTAAATGGTTCACTGGTATAATGAGGAAACACATTGCTGCAATTTTTAAGACGACAAGTGTGAATACTTTTTCATTCTGTACCACTATTATTAATAATTTTATTGCTGAAATTAGTAAAGTAGTATTGGCTTTATTTTTCATATCACCTTCTCAATTGCATTTCGGAAAAATCCTAATGTAAGAATCGTCGAAACGCCATACTGATTTCATCAGAAGCGGTTATCAAAACGATATTGAGAAATCAGAAAGCATACTATTTATTTAAAAGATATTAAATTCAAATGAATTGTTTCACCTTCTCAATTTCATTTCGGAAAAAATCCCTCATTACCCAATGGAAATTAAAACAACAATAATATTTAAGTTTTTTTATTCGTTTTTGTTGTTTTTTCTTTATATTTTTATTTGGAAAATGTTTTTGCAATAATTTCATCATATGCTTTTTTTTGTATTTATTTTTTATTATTATTTTTTGTTTGTTTTAATTTTTGTTGTTGCTGTTTAACATCATGTTACAGAAAGAGTTGTTGGTTTGTTTGGTTGGTTTTTTGTTGTTGGTTGGTATGCAATTTGTTTATAATGTAATTTCGAATAGATATTTTGTTTGTTGTTGGTTTTTTCTTGTGTGTTAATAATATGATTCTCTCTCACTTCAAGTTAGGCTTTTTAGAGGCCTACACTACATTTTCATTAAATGTTTGTTTTTATTGTTTTTTTTTTTTTCATTTTAATAAAAAATATTTTTTTGTTTTGTTTATTTAAAGTGTTTTGCATTTTTTGTTTGTTTTTTTTTTATATAATAATATAAACTATTTGTTTAAAAAAAGAGAATTAATGATTATAATGACAAAGAAAAAATAAAAAATAGGATAATTGTATGCTCTAATAAAAAAATTAAAAATATATTTTTTATGTATGTATTGAATTCTGTTTATAATTTTTATTTTTGTTAAATAATGGTTTTTGTATTTATTAAATGTAAAGGTTGATTATTTTTCTTGTATGTATGTGGGGGAGTGTGTGTTTCATTTTTTTCTTCATTATTTTTAATAATAATAATCATAGAATGAAGTTTTTTATTATTCTTTTGTTGTTATTGTTTGCTAATTTGTTTTGAAATTCATAATAATAATAATTTAATAAAAATATATATTAATATTATATTTATTAAAATTATTCATATATATGTTTTGTTTGTTATATATAAAATAAAATAAAAAATGAACTGAAAATAAAAAACATAATTAAGAATAATAAAATTAAAAAATTATATGTTATGCTGTATGTATTGTATATTTTGTTGTTTTTGTTTTGTTTTTTATTTGTATGCAAATATGAATTCATTTAATATACTCTCAACACATGGGTTGGGTTAATTTTCTTCCATATATTTGTTGTTTAATTTTCAAAATGTTAGGTTATGTTTTTTTTGTTTCTTTTGTAACTTCTCAGCTTTCGGCTCTGTGGTATGCCAAAAATGAGTAAGTGTAAAGGGAGCGAGCAAGCATTGGAGACTTGCATATTATCTTCATTCATTCATCATCATCTTATTCTTCTTCTGCAATCGCTTATGTGTCATCATTTCGATTTGGGTTTCCTTTAAAGAGTTTCTGGTATTCCTTTTTGTCGTGGCAAAAGAAATGTAACAGCTAGGCTTGTTGTTTTTGCTTTTTTTTTGGTAATTAATAAAGTAATGTGTTTTTGAGAAATTGTTTTTTTTTCTTCTTTTCTTGTTGTTGTTGGTTTGTTTCATAAGTGTTTCTATCCTGTTCGCCGGTTAACAAACGTGTGTGTGTGTATTTTTTTGTTCCATCAAGAGTTCTTGGGTAGTTTTCGTAATTTTTTTTATTTTTGAGGACTCAAGGGGGGTCGAAAGTCCATAATGTTCCATAAAATGTAATCCTTTTGTTCCGAAGGGGTCATTTTGTTGCTTGGAATTATTGCCAAAAAATAGGCTCGTTTTTTCTTGGTTTTATTTAATTTCTTTTTTTAATTTAAATTTCAATATCCATTAATTGTTACGTTGAAAATTTCATTCATTATCGGTTTTGTTTTGTTGGTTGTTTTTTTTTTTTCTTTTCATAATCATCAAATATTTCAATAGAAAATAATCTGCGTATATTTATTATATTAAATATATTATTAGATAATTCCTTTATAAATTATTTTTCTATTAGCAGTGTGTGTGTATTTTTCTTTTATTTTATTTTTTTTCTTGGAGGGGGGATTTTCGCTAAAAACAAAGAAAAGCGCAATTTGTTTTTTTATGTTTGTATAACTTACTTTTGTTTTAACCTTTTTTGTATTTTTTGTTATTTAAATTTTTTGCCTTTTGTGGTTGGTATGTTGGGGTTTTAATTGTGATTAGCTGAAATGGAGAAGAAGAAATGTGTACAAATTACATTATTTTTCTCAGAGAACGTACATATTTTGAGTGGAAGAAAGAGGATAAGGATGTTCAATTGATAATGAAATTAAATTCAAAACCAAAACAATGGAATGTAAAAAAAATTGTTATATGCAAATGAAAATTATTATCGAACAACATTAGGAATATCTATATGTTCGATGCAGAATATTCTCGAATTACTGAAAACTGAATTGATAAATATTGCTATACACGTAACTGAAATTTGAGTGTGCCCAATAAATTCTTATTACCAATGGACATGGTTATCGAAATTCAATGGTACTTATCACCGACGTTATACACAATTTTGGAAAATGTGAATTCCCTCTTTCCAAAAAGAATGATAAATTGATTGACTGACTTATAAATTGATTGACGAAAAGAACTAAAATGTATTAACATTTTGGTAACAATTCGAAGGTGTCAGATAAGGATAGTTTTTGGAAATTCGTACTAGTTCGGCACGAAATATGGTACCACTTGCATTTGGCGTACTCTGGAACTCTTAAATTTGGATGAGGATCACTGATCAGAGTATGATATTCAAACTATAAGTATTCGAAAAAAGTATATTGGGAATGCGAATCAAGGATGAGAAATAGGTCGATATAAGAAGGTAGTTTTGGATGTGTACTCATTTGCATGAAAAGTACTAAACAGTATTAAATTTCGTATAATTTGAATTTGGATTAACGGATGGAACTGAAATCCTGAAATTTTGAAATTAAAACTCCTTGTACATTAGAACTTTTTACCGGGTTAACCTACTTTATGAGGATTTATTTGACATATACGCAAAGGAAATGGCAATTGAAACCCACTGGGTTAACGAAATCCGGTTAAATGTAAACGTACTGTAACATTAACTTGGGAGTGTATGTTTGGGTAGTTTTGGAAATTTGTACATATGTGTAGAAAAGTACTATATTCGGTACAATTTGGATTTGTGTGAACCGATAGAGATGAAATCCTGAAATATGGAGTTAAGATTACTGTTGGAGTGTACGATTGTGGTATAAAAGTAGTTTTGCAAAATTTGTACTTATGGGAACTAAGTGGTACTATATTCGGGTGAACCGATAGAGCTGGAATCCTGAAATTTGGAATTGAAGATACTTTTGGAGTGTATGTTACGATCTGGATGTAGTTTTGGAAATTTGTGTGAACCGATAGTGCTGGAATCCTAAAATTTTGAATTATGATTACTGTTAGTGTGTAGGATTAGGGTATGGAATGGGATTTTATGGAAAATTCGTACTTATATGTACTAAATGGTGCTAAATTTAATACAATTTGGATTTAGGTTAACCGATAGGGCCGGAATCCTGAAATTGGGAAATGTGATTTCTATGGGCTTGCTCAGGTTTGGTATTTATGGAAATTCATATTCATATGTATGAAATGATACTAAATTTGATAAACTTCGTATATCTGTGAACCTATAGAGGTCGAATCAAGAAATTATTCTTGGAAATAAGTACTACAAGATTACAAAAGGTAATATGTGATACCAAATTTTGTATATAGCTTGATTTCTGTTGCGGTCGGAATTGGCGAGTAGTGTTGAGATATGGAAGTAGTTATGGGAATACATACTATTAGAAAACAACGGTACTAAATGGTAGTCAAATTTTAATTATGTGTCGATATTGGTGTGAAAACAACATAATAAGCTAAGACAAGTTTAAATCTTTTCCACATTGGCTAACGATGTTGCGGACATATGCTAGTCCAGAATAAGATTTAAATTTCCTATTTCCCAAAATTTTTATAATAGAATTATAAAATCCCATCCCGCTTCAAAGAAACCACTTAAGACCGTTTAAAAAATTGTATTATTTGACATGAACAATTTTATTTGATTGTTCCAAATGCAAAATAACCAGATACTCGGATACCTCCCCCTTAATATCCCTATAATTAGGATAAAAATACCTACCGCTCGAAGCTGGGATAAATAAAATGTACCACACACGTCTGTTGAAATCATTTTCTACAGACTTTTGGTGTAGCCCCATATTACGGTACCCGCAATATTCGGTATTTTGGCCATTTTGGACACTTTTTTAACCGAAATGGCAGAAATTTAGTATTTAGGTTTCTCATTGTATAGTACATGCCCGTATCAATAAATATTAATATTAAACAAAGTTTCAGGGTAGCCCCCATATAACGGTACCCCCTATATTCGATATTTTGTGTATTTAAAAAAAAAATTGTCACCCCTATTCCGTATGTCGTCGTGGAAAGAAAACGACGTCGTAGAGAATCGTCTTTTGTAAATTGGTATTCCCCATGTCGACATTTATCGTAACTATTGAAACATTTTTGGTATTCCGTAACAAAGTGTGACGACGACGATGTCGAAGATTTCTACGTCATCATTTTTGTTGACGACTGAAGTATTTGAACAAGTTTTTTTTTAAGAAATAAATCTATTCAATACGTAATGCAAAATTAGGTGTAAATAAACAAAGAAAAATATACGGGATCTATATATAAATCTGAACCGATTTTGCCCTATATCAGTAGCACTCGTCTATGTGTAAAGTTTCATTCCAATTAGATGGAATTTTCCAAATGTCGATATCGATGCGAAGTGATGTCGACAAAGAAACGTCGTCGACAACTACGACGACATACGGAATAGGGGTGATTAATATTCACCCAAGTTTCAGGATAGCCCCCATATAGTGATGTCCCCCAATATTCGGTATTTTGGATACGTTTTTAATGTAGTATTTTGGGTTCTCATTGTATAGCACATGTCCGTACGAAAAATTAATGTTTTAGGGTAGCCCCCATATAACGATAACTAAAACGCTAGCCCCACTATTAGGTAATCATCATTATTCACGTGTTTTTCGGTCCTATCGTAACATGCGTTTTCTCCTAGGAGCCCCATTAATTGTATATATTTTGAATGGCATCCTCAATGTGGAGGGTATAAAAAGTTCGACACAGCCGAAATATTTTTAGCTTGTTCCATTCTTATTTTTTTCATGTACCTAGGATGAGCACAGTGGACATAATGCCTTTGAGTGATACTGCTAGACAACTGGTGGCTGGACTGTACATCCTTTAACATTAACCAGCTCTATTAAGGTTGGCGGTAAGGGCTACCGTCCAGCGAATTGTGTTCTACTTTATACCGAATGAAGTTAGAAATTTAAACGAGCACCTATTAACTGTCGGATGAGAAATCATTACACAATGGATTGGAATGCCCATTTTTGCCCGGAAAAAGACTGACGTGGAAATCTATGGAGAGATTAGTCGGCTGTCTGGTAAATTGTTGAATCCTTTGAAACAAATATATTTGCGAAATTAATTTATATAAAAAATGGTGAGAATGACATGAAAAATCCAATGTGCTAAGTGTTCATTTGGACGTTCTATGGACAGATTAGTCGGCTGTCTAGCAGATTGTTGAATCCTTTGAAACAAGAATATATTTTTGTGAACTTAATTTTGATAAGAAATGGTGAGAATGACATGACAAATCCAATGTGCTAAGTGTTCCTTCCTTTAGATTCGTAAATGACTATGAGAAAGTGTATAGAAAAAGCCGGGCAAAATTACTACAAGCAATAAAATGAATGAAAGAAGAAAAAAAAACAATAATACCAAATAAATAAATAAAATGCAAGCCGAATATACTTATGTTACATACAAACACACACAAATAAAATAACCAATTTTTAAACAAATGAGAAAAAAAACAGAAAAAAATAATTTGTGTTTTTTTGTGCTTTTCGCATATAAATATATAAATTTATTCAAATTTTATTTTGTAGCATTTTTTGTGGTTGTTGTAATATATTTTGTTGTTTGTTTTAATTTTTAGTTAATAATAGTTATAATAATATATATTTAATATTTCTTTAGCAAATAAGATTACTTTGTTTTGTTTTTCTGTTTGTATTGTTTTCTTGTTGTTTTTGTTTTTATTATTCTAATTTTAAAGAGTAGATTCTTTTTCTTTCAAAAAATATTTTAAATATATAAATTAAAAAAAAATAATAAAGTATTATGTGCAATTATTGCATTATTATTATTATGATTAAGTATATTAATTAAAGTTTTTGTTGATTTTTTTCTTGTTTTGTTTTTAGTTCTTTTTGTTTGTAAAACATTTAAATTAGTGAACAATTCCAAATCAAAAATTATATTAATAATAGTAAAGAAGAAATGTAGGGTGGTGGGTTGTTGGGGTGGTAATAATATAAGGAGCAGTTGTGTATGAGTGGGGTGGGGTGTGCTGTTGTCATTTTGTCTTTCTAACTCATGTGGTAAGTAAAATTTTGTGGTAGCAGCAGCGTGAATGTTGTTGCAGTAGTTGGACAAAACAAAACAAATCAAGGCATGTATGTTGTGTGAGTATGTGTGCGTGTGGTGAGGTGGTGTGGTTGGATGACTTGTAAGGAGAACATGGATGTTTTTTGTTTTTCTTTTTCTGGGATGGAGGGGGTAGAAAATCTTGAGTAATTTTTAATTACCTCGATTTGGGCCAGCATTGGCCGCATTGTTCGCATAATAGGGTTTATTCATTTGTTGAGGTTGATTGGCAACTTGTGGATTTTGGTTGCCACCGCCACCTCCTTGATTATTGCCGCCGGGACCACCAGGGCCACCTCCATTACCAGGAGCTCCTCCCACCTGGGCTCCAGCTTGGGGACCACCAGGGCCGCCCTGTGGACCACCACCATTGTTACCGCCGCCTTGCCGCAGATTTTGTGGCTGTTGGCCACGTTGAACCTGTTGTTGCTGTTGTTGGGCTTGTTGTTGCTGCTGCTGCACTTGTTGCTGTTGACTCTGGGGTCCTTGCGGATGTTGTGGATAATTTGTGGGCCGCTGTATGGGTGTGGGATAACGTCCGGGCTGTGAACCTTGCGCACCGGGCGGAGGTCCACCAACAGCACCGCCACCACGATTATTAGGATTCATATTTTGATTGTTGGCTCCGGGACCGCCGCCAGCTATTCTCTGTTGAACGGCAGCCTGTTGAGATTGTTGTTGTTGTTGAGCGGCAGCTTGTTGTTGCATAACTTGATCCCACTGCAAAAATTAAAACAAAACCATTTAAAAAATGAATAATTTTCTCAAAAGTCCTAATTTTTTTAATCACTTACACTGCCATAATTTTTCAGATGCGGTGGACTGGGCTGTGATTGAGCATGTTTTACTAAATTTAAACTGCCATCGGCTCCCAAGGGACTTTTCAACTGGCGGCCCATCTATTTTGGAAAATAGAAAAATTTTAATAAACTCTCCCTCTTTTTCTCATCTCGTCCACCCTCCCCCTCTCCACCAACTTACCGAATCTTGCATATGTGCTTGCTGTTGGCTTGATTTTATATAAGCCGCTGCTGCCGCCTGCTGCGGTGTCGGTCCACCACGATATTGTGTTATTGCCGCCGCCGTCAACAGCTGTGAATTCATAAACGGCGTATTGAAATTACTCATTGTATGTTGCGACTGGGGTCCGGGTGGACCCTGTGGCGGTCCAGGTGGTCCATTCGATCCCGGTGGTCCACCCTGATGACCGGCATGACCATATAGGCTGGCAGCAGCCGCCGCCGCTGCTAGACCATAATTTTGTGCTCCTGCTCCGGCACCTTGTGGTGGTGGGCCACCATAGAAAGCAGCCGGACCACTAGGACCACCGGCAGAATTTGAATAGTAACTATTCGATTGCAGTTGATGTCCAGGCGGTGGACCGGGTGGACCACCTTGATGTTGTGGTGGGCCGGTAGCGTACAGATTCATATATTGCTGAGCCGCCGCAAAAGGACCACCGCCACCACCAGCCTTCGAACCTATGGTACCCAGCTGTTGGGAGGTGGGTGGTGGTTTAACTGAGCCTACTGTCGACATTAACGAGTTGGAATTCGATGAGATAATGGTGACCGCCGCTGCATTGGGGTTGTTCAATTGTTGCGAATTCGGATTGCCAAATGGTGAGGGACCACCGCCCATGCGGAATTGCGATGTTAGGTTGGAATACATTTCCGGTGTGGGTGCTGTGCCCATATTGGGTGGTGTCTGCATGGGATAGGCATTGAAGGGGCCGCCAGCAGCTGCTGCCGCTCCGTAGTGGCCGGCAAAACTGTGTGCCGCCGCAGCTGAGAATTGTGAACGGTTCGAATGATCGATAGAATGGAATGGTGCATAGAGGCCACCCTGTGAGGGTGGCGGGGGCATCTGTGATGAATTGAAGACGACTGCGGCCGCCGGTGGACTTGGTATGGTGGAGATGCCGGGGAATTGCGGTGAGGCCTGATAGAACGGTTGCGGTGCATGCATTTGTTGTTGAGCTGCCGATTGTTGTTGTTGCTGCTGCTGTTGTTGTTGATGTTGCTGTTGTTGTTGCTGCTGTTGCATATTGGGTGGTGGTGACATACCCATCGACGATGAGTGATGCTGTTGCATTTGTTTGGCTGCTGCTGAAACTTGTTGTTGTTGTTTCACCACATCCGATGAATGTTTCATAGCTTGCTGTTGTTGTTGCTGCTGTACCACTGTCTGTTGCTGCTGCTGTGGACTTGGATAACCACCCACAACGGAAGTGTCATCACCAGCTCCCACCACAATACCGGCAGCCGCCGGACCGAATTGTTCCAGCTGAGCGGCGGCATCGAAGGGTGAGCCATGGGCACCAAATGCCGAGGGTACCCCAGCACCGGGAGAGGATAATGCATGATGTTGTTGCATGTGAACTGCTGCCACCGCATAGTGGGGCAAATGTTGCTGCTGTTGTTGTTGTTGAGAGGCCGCGACGGCAGCAACAAATGATGCTGCTGTCATATGGCCGCTGGTATCGACAGGTTCCATTTGTTGTTGTTGCTGCTGTTGTTGTTGGTGGTGTAACTGCTGTTGTTGTTGCTGCTGCTGTTGTTGTTGTTGCAGTTGCTGTTGTACACTTGTGGCAGGATCCGATGTCATGGGTTGAACCGTTTCCCAAACCTTCTTGACACTGGCAATTTTCATGTTCAAATCGGCGGCCGAGATTAGATTTTGTTGTTGTTGCTGCTGCTGTTGTTGTTGATGTTGAGGAGTTTGTTGTTGAGTCGGTTGATGCTGTGGCGTTTGCTGTTGTTGCTGCTGTTGCAAACTAACTTGCTGTTGCTGCTGCTGGTGCTGTTGTTGCTGCTGCTGTTGTTGTTGCTGCTGCTGAACACTGCTATTCTGTTTCACAGCAGCCTCATTGTCTGCCGTAACACCACCACTGGCGGCCATGCCTTTAGTGGCTGTCGTATACGACTCTGTCGCATCACCGAAAGAGAAGCCTAGCTTCATTTCTTTGTCATAATCCGCTGCGGATGGACCACCAGCAACTGTTTGGGAATTGTTTGAATCACCACCGGCGGCAGTACTTGCACCACCACCAGCAACAGATGTCGCCGCCGTTTGTTTTCCTGCATTACCACCAAATGACATTTGGGACAAGGCGGTGGACAAGGTGTCCACACCCGTCACCGATACATTTACATTCGATACCAAAGACTCCGATGAACGCTTCATTTGAGCCGCTTGTACCTGCTGCTTGTAATGGGTATTCTCAAAGATGATGGTATTGACGGGGGCACCATCTATCAGGAGGGTGGAATTATTTGATTTACTATCCAAACTACTGAGCGACGATCCCAGTGAGCCCAATTTATTCTTTTCATTGTCCAATTTTTGTCCAGCAGGCACGTTCGTTTCCGCTTTTCCACTCTTCGTGTCCTGCTGCTGCTGTGTTGTAGCGGATGATTTTTGTTGAGTGGTCGTCGATGTTGTCGAGCCAATCGAAGCAATACTAGCCGATGATCCTGTCGATTTAAGACTTCCCAAACCGGTTGGGGTTGATGTCTTGGTTATGTTTGATGATTGATGCTGTTGCAGGCTGCCGGCTGGAGTTGCGGACTTATTAGCAACCGCTGGTCCCACACCAGAGCCTTGTTGGGCAACAGCTGTTGGCAGTGTTGTCATTTCTTGTTTCTTTACCTGTTGTTGTTGTTGCGTTCCCGCGCTCATTGTTGTTGCTGATGTTGTTGTTGTATTTGTGCTTCTTGTGGACGCTGTAGAGTTATTGGGTGGCAAGTTGGTCGTGACGCTGCTGCCAGTTGCAGGAATGTCTTTTTCCTTGGAAGCGGATTTTTTCTCCCGTTCAAGATTGGTGTTGCTTGTTCGGATATCGTCATCGGTTTTGTTACTGGACACACTTTCTTTTCGAGTCTGCGACTGTTGCTGTTGTTTGGATGGTGTGGTTGATGACGTTGTCGGTTTCTTTTCACCTTCATTCGATTTTTTCTGCTGCTGTTGTTGGGGTGGTGTGGTTGTTTGTTTAGTCGCCGTATTTGACGTGGAGGTGCCGCTTGTTGTGGAGGATGTTTGATTAGTGGAACGCTCGGCACCACCATCCTTAATGTCCTTGCTAACCTTGGAGGATAGACCAGCACTTAATGCCATTTGATTTTGTTTGGTTTTATCCAAATCGGAATTGTTCGTTTCCGAAGATTCCGAAGTGCGTTTCATATCCTTGTGGTCCTGATCCTGATAACTCTGGCGACCATATTGACGTTGTCCAGAGGAACGGCCATCGTTACTACGTCTATACGACGAGGATGCTATGCCTCGGTCGCCCATATTTCCACCGCCGCCTCGGCCTCGCCGAGATGGTTCACCTCTTGGGGCAAAACCACGTTCATCACGATCCGAATTTCGACCACCTCGATCACGGTCACGATCGCGATCACCACCGCCGCCACCACGTCCTCCACCGCCATCTTTACGTGGTACTTTAGGGCTACGTTCAGAACGCCGGCCACTGCCATAACCACCACCGCCACCATCGTCCATCATATCATCATCTTCATGATCTAGATAATGGTCATCGGAACCTTGGTAACGGCCACCACCTCCTCCTCTCGAGTTACCGCCACGTTGATTCCAACCACTGTCACGATTGCCACGATAGGAACTGCCACTGGCGCCAAAAGTGCGGCTATGTGAGACACGCATATCTCGTTCACGATCGCGGTCACCACGATCTCGGTCTCTACCACCACCGCCGCCTGAACCACCACCACTTCTGGGACTAGGTCGTTTCTCCCGTTGGGGTTGGGGTGCTGACGACGCCGCTGCAGTGACCGAGGAACCACTACGTTCTCCCAGCTCTTGTTGTTGCTGCTGCTTACTATGAGAATCCGATTCATTTCCCGTTGCCGTAGTCGAGGGTGACAGGGAATTCATGGAGTCATTTTGTTTCTGTGAATCCGATGGCGCCGCCGGTGACTCTGTGGCACTCTGCTCTTGTTCCTCCTCCAACTGTTTACTCTCGGACAATTTAGTCGTTTGCATATCCGACGACGACGACGCCAATTTCTGATGTTCAATCGACTCGGAACGACGCAATATCTGGGTGGGAGCAAATGAACTTGTCGACGCCTGGTCGCTACTTTCGCTGATACGATGTTGCTTGTGTTGCTGTGGAGGACTTTCTTCTTCGGACACACTCTTCTGGGTGTGAGGTCTTTGTAGAATTTTAATCGGTATCGAATCATGGCTATGCGATGAAGAGAAGCTCTCATCCCTCTGCCTCTTCAATTCCATTTCGGTTTCTTCGGCCCACGAAGAGACAATGCCACTTCCGAAATTTGTTGAATCTCCCGTGAAGCTGAGCTTTATTGACTCGTCATTTGAGGAGACGCTTGTCTTGCGCTGAGATGTATCGGAAATGCTACGGGACAGTTGGTTGGGACCGCCAGCCATGCTGCTGCTACTGCGACCATAATCATCTCCCCCTCCTCTGTTTCCTCCACCGCCACGGTTGTGATAGCGGTCATCATCACGATCGCTGTCGTTACGTGAACGATAGCCACCACTTCGTGTATAGTTATCGCGATATTCACCACGTGGTCCGGAACCTACACCACCACGCTGTGGGCCGCCACCACCACCAGATCCACCCTTTTGCATATAACGTGAGCTTTCGTAATTCATTGCGGAAGATGAAGATTTTTCCAAACCTCCACTGCCACTGTTTGCATTGGAAGTGGAACGCCCTGTTCCTAGGCCGCCACCACCTCCACCACTGCTGCTACTACTTCCAACGGCTTGTTGTTGGCGTAGGAAACGAGGTGGCAAATTGGATTGGAAATGTGGCGAGAAAACAGTTTTAGATCCCGGTGGTCCACTGGTTGTACCACTGCCACCAATAGGCCCAGGGCCACTGCCAGCAGCATTCATGGTGGATGTATTACCAGAACCACCACCACGAGAATACTCCGTTGATGATCTTATATCTCGTGAATCATAACCACCTGCACGACTTCCACCTCCTCCACCGACGCCACCACCACGTTCTCTTTCAGTTGTAGTGGAACGTTCATAGCTTCCGCCACTGCGTCGTGAAACATTCTCATCTATTGAACCCGTTGTGGATGATGTAGACATGCCACCGCCTCCACCACCACTACTGCCACCCGGTGGCAACTGGTCATAGTTGGAGGAGTCGCTGCCACTGATGGTTGCCTTCTTACTATTGATTTTCATTTCCAATTCTTGTTTCTTCCGAGCTGCTGCCAGTTTGCGTTCCATGTCTCGGCGTTCTTCTTCCTCCTTGCGTTGCTTTAATCTCTCATAGACACTAGCATCGATGGTAATGCCGCCAGAACCAACACCACCTGGTCTATGACCATTTTGGTGTCGGGTATCTTCCATGTTCTCTCCTCCGCCAACGCCACTAGAAGATTTTTCCCTTTCCAAACTGTCACGATCCTTTCGTTGCCAACTACCACCACTGCCAGTTCCAGCTGTGGACGAGGTACCACTGGCATTTGAGTTTTTACGTTGGTCATTGAGATTTCCACTGTTGTTTTTATTGAATACTGGTCGATCACGTTCTTGAGTCGGGGTATCCTCGGGCGATTCATCATCCGAAAATGTTAATTTCTTGGTATAATCAATGTCTTCCTGTTTCGTCCAGCTATCATCGTTGGCAATTGCATTCAGCCGTTCCAAGTCCTCTTCGCGTATAATGGGTCGTTGCAATTGGACCACTTCCGGTTCCACAATGTATTCCTTGTCTTTGCGATGGCCATTATTGCCGCCGCCACCACCACCGCCATTTGTGGGCGGAGGAGTGTTTAGTAATGGTGGACGTTTGGGTAAAGCAGTGGCCTGTCGAAAACTGCTGCCGCTGCTAACACCTGCCGAATTCGAGCGATGATAATCTTGTGCATTTCCGCGAGGTTGTGGCCTTATGTTCACCGACGACGATGACGAGTCCTTTGTTAAGCCATTTTGATAATTTGGTGGAGTCTGAGAACGCCCACCGGAGCTTGATGTAATGCCGCCGCCACCACCACCAACTCCTCCTATACCTCCACCACCGCTGCTAGGTGGCAGGGGTACACCGCGCTGCATGAACGACGGCATTAATGACAAAATTGGCAATGGAACTGCAGCGCTTGGATTCGCAACTGAACTTGCCGGGGGGCCCTGGCCCTGATGGTTCGATTGGCTGTCGGCTGCCACACTCTTGGCATTCTTTTCCTGTTGTTCCAACCAGGCGGCAGCATTTGTTTGTGGTCTCAAGCTGACTTCGTTCATTTCGCGAGATATCTCGCCATTTCCACGACCACCACCACCGTCTCCTCCTTCGTTGCCATCTCTGTAATTGTGTGCATCGTTGCGTTGATGACGACCTCCGCTGCCACGTTCTCGGTCTCCGCCGCCACGTTCTCCGTGATGATAATCTCCACCACCATTGCCACGCTGATGACGATGATGGTAATCCTGATGATTCGAGTTCGAATGATGATGATGGTGCTGTTGTTGTTGATGATGATGATGGTAATCCTTTTCGCCACGATCTCCACCGCCGACGCCACGTTCGCCACCGCCCGATGTATTGCCACCACTGCGACGATTCGCATTGACATTGCCACCGCTTCCGGCGCCTCCAACTGTGCCATCTAATGTCGGGAATTCGTGCTGAAACTGTGGACTCTGATAGAGTGGTGGTACTGTGGCCGTGGGTTTGCCACCTCGTTGGTTGTCGTTGCCTGTCGTTACAGCAGACCATGTTATTGGTTTTTGTTGATTGTGGTGGTGATGAGATTGATTGCCGCCGCTGTTACCGCCGCCTCCGCCACTCTTACCAACAGATGTTGAGTTGAGAATTAATTTGCTGCCAACACCGCCGATAACAGTACCGCTGCTGCTGTTGTTGTTGTTACTGTTGCTATTATTGTTGCCGCTGCTGTTACTGTTGTTGTTACTGCTGCTGCTGCTGTGGCTGTTGTTGTTTGTAAGATTACTGTTGATGTTGCTGCCGCTGCTGCTTTTTGTTGCTGTTGTTGTAGTACTTTTTAATGGATTATTAGTTGGACCGGACGTTGGTGTTTGTACGCCTCCTGCAAAGTTGTCAAAGAGAGATGTAGAGAGAAGAAACAAATGGATAGGAAAAATTAAAGGCCAATTGGCCTTTACAAAGACGTGTGGTCTCCCAATTGGCCCAATTGGCCGGTATAAAGACCTGGGGGCTCTATACAGCCCAATTGGCCGGTATGAATAACCGTGGTCTCCAATTTGGCGGTATAAAGACCTGTGGTTTCTATACAGCCCAATTGGTCGGTATAAAGACCTGTGGTGGTCTCTATACAGCCCAATTGGCCGGTATAAAGACCTCTGGTGGTCTCTATACAACCCAATTGGCCGGTATAGAGACCTGTGGTCTCCTTGCAGACCAATTGGCCCGGTATAAAGACCTGTGGTCTCTATACAGACCAATTGGCCCGGTATAAAGACTTGTGGTCTCTATACAGCCCAATTGGCCCGGTATAAAGACCTGTGGTCTCTATACAGCCCAATTGACCGGTATAAAGACCTGTGTGGTGTCTATACAGCCCAATTGGCCGGTATTAAGACCTGTGGTCTCGGATTAAAGATCTCTAATATAAAACGAATACACAATTATCAATAATTAATTATCCTACCTTCTTGACCAGTTGTTGTATTATTATTAGCAATAGTTGGCGAACTTGTTGTTTCAGCTTTTAAGGATGGTAGATTAGCTGGTGGTCGCCGAGCGGACGGCACTTTGCCCAAACTTTGCATTCCATGTTTACGTGGCACTTGGTTTTTTTGTGCTGAAGGTTCTGTCGTTTCACCCTAAATATGCAAAAAGATAAAAGCAACAACAATAAATAAAAGATATTAGCAGCACATCATAAAAACAGAGAGACACAAACACACATACATAGACATCATTGACATTAATGAAAATTACAAATTAACAATTATTAAAACAAAAAAATAACGATTTAGATCATACATTATCATGATGACAATGATGAATTAATACAATTACAACAACAACAATTATAATAGTAATAACAAAAACAAACCAAAAACTTACACGACTATTTTTGTACATTCGATTTATATCGAGTGCTGAGAACTTGGGCTTGGCATTTCGCTCTCCCCTACTTCCCCCCAGTGTACTCATGCTGCCAATAGATCCTCATTAGCGTTAACTTGCCCCTTGTGCACCAAGCACCTCTCTTCCTCGGATCTGTGTTTATAGGGGGCTGGCTGGCTCGCTAGATGGCTGCTACTTTTGTTTGTTTGTTGCTGTTGTTGTTGTAAAAGCCTAGTTTTTTGCTTTTCAACAAGAACTGAAATTGTTGTCTTTCACTGGAAATGGAGATTTCAATTTGTGTTTTTTTTTTCCAAATTTTGGAATTAGTTTTAGGTTCTTCTCCCCCGCTCGCGCTCTTTTTGTTGTTGGTTATACGACGATCTCACCGCACACTCCTCCTTCTTTCTCTTCAATCAACAATTATGAAATTTCTCAATTGTTTAGATGTGCAGAAATTAACAGAAAGAAAAGATATTTTTTTTCAATATTTTCTTCTTCTTCCTCCTTGGTAAGTTTCTTAAAGTATTGTTTATGCAAAAAGAAACAATAGGATTTTCTTTGTTGTTGTTGTTGCTGCTGCTTTTAAAGTGTGTGGTTTTATTTAAATAGCAGTTGTTGCTGTTGTTGTTGTGAATATGCCGGAAAACGGAAAACAATGTGAAGATGAGTTTTTTTGTTTCAAATTATTCCTTGTTCTTTTTTGTTTTTGTTCCAAATGAATAAAATGTTTGGCAGGTTGTTGTTGTTTTTAGGCTTTGCTTTTCTTTTCGTCGTGAATACTTTGTTTTGTTTTTCTTTTTGAGAAGAGTTTCGAGTTAATGTTCCTTCTACCTTTCCTTTTTTGCTTCTGTTGTTGAATATGCCTCCTCCGATAGTTGTGTTTTTAAGCTTTTATCTGTCTATCTTGCAATAGATGTTTTTGTTGTTTATTTTTTATTTATAAATGGGGGACTTCTTCTTCTAATGTAAAATAATAGTTTGATTTGTTTAGGATTTTTTTATTTGTAGTTAATTATTCCGTTAATTGTAAGTTTATTAACTAAACTTCAGTCTTCTGTTTATCCTAAAAAGAAATAAAAGGGAATATTGAGGTTAGAATAGGTTAGTTATAAACAAATTAAAAAAAAAAAAAAACAAAATGCTAAAAATGTTTTTAACTGTTTTTAAAATCAATAACTAAATTTAAATATACATAATTGAATTTCAACAATATTTTACAAGGACCTATGTTCTCTATACAGATCAATTGGTCTTTATAAACACCTATGATCTCTTTATAGGCCAATTTGTCTTTATAAACACCTATGGTCTCTATACAGACCAATTGGTCTTTATAAAGACCTATGGTCTCTATACAGACCATTTGTTCATCATAAAGACCTATGGTCTCTATACAGACCAACGACCATTTTGCCCGCATATGGCTAGGCAAAACGTTCTCTGAATTTTCTGTAACACCAATACGTTTATTTTATTATCCATTGCTGTGCTGATAACCCTCTTATAGATCCAGTGTATCATCTTAGGATTGAAACCCCATTTAGAGCCTACGGCTCTTCTACAGAAGGACCAGCATCTATGGACCTTGTCAGCCTTTGCTATATGTAGTATTTCCATTTAAGTTCCCTGTCTAGGATTACTCCCAGGTACATAACTTTATTAGATATGGCTAACAATTTGAAAGATGGCTTTATATACGGTTATATTTTTGTCTTTCTGGTGAAAAGACATATCTCTATTTTGTCCGAATTTACATTTAAGCCCCTCGGTTTAAGGCAATTTTAGGCGATGTTTAGCACCGTTTCGATTTTTCTGAATAGTACGATAAATTCTATCCCCTAAGAAGTATTATAACGTCATCTGCATAGTAGACTGGTTCAAATCCTTCATCGATCAAGTTCCTTAAGAGTCATTTATGGTGGTTACACAGAGGAGCGGTGACAAAATCCTGTGTTGTTCTCTGACCTACCTTGTCTCTGATTGTTTTGTCTTGTATGGTACAGCAAATCCATCTATTCCTTAGCATATAGTTAAACCCGTCTATTATAGCCCAATCAACTTGGAAAGTATCTAAGGATTGGATAAGCGTATTAATGCTGACATTGTTGAAAGCTCTTTCAATGTTAATGCACACCGCTAAGGTATATCTGTTCTTAGCGAAGGTGCCCTCAATATGGTGTACTACCTCATGTAAAGCCGTTTTCACTGATCTCTCCTTTACATACACATATTGTTTGTATTTCAGCGTATCATTGGGTATACTGCTCTTTATCATGGTGTCGATTGTACGTTCCATGGTTTTGAATAGGAAAGAAGTTTGGCTTATTGGCCGATATGATTTTGGTGTGGCGTAGTTTGCCTTGCCGGGCTTGGGTATGAAGACTAACCTCGCTTCCTGCCAGGCTTTCTATGTGTACGTCAACCTTAAGCATGCATTAAAGAGTGCGGCTAGATGTGGTGACAAAAATACCGCCTCCTTTTGTAGCAACGCGGGGAAGACGTTATCCGGTCCTGCCGCTTTCAATGGTGAGAAGCTTTTAAAGGTGTTTAACACCATTGACTTGTCAATTATAGGTTCCTCTTTCTTCCCTATATGCCATGACATCGTCCATTGTCGATGTGTCCGATGGGAAGTGAGCATTCATTAGGAACCTCTGTGTTTCCTCGATTGTTTATATCTTGTTACCCTCACCGTCTACCATAGTTTCGGGTTGGGTGTGGGTCTGAATAGAAACTTCTTGATTTTTGAAACGTTGTTTACGCTGTCTACCTGTTCGTAGAACAGCTTCCAGGAGTGGCGTTTGGCGGCCCTTGTCAATTTATTGTATTCTTTTCGTTAATCGTGGCATTTGTCCCAGAATACTGTGGATTGTTTCCGGCATGCTCTGTTGTAAAGCCTTCGGACCACTTTTCCGTTATTCTGAATCTCCGCTGTCAAAAGGCAGATTTCCTTTCATGGAGAGGACAAATTTCCTCGAAAGACTTTTCAATTATTTCCGGTGTTTGAGACGTCACAGTACTCAATTTACTCTTGGGAGGTACTGAGGTCTTAGACGTCTCAGGTACCAGCTTCCTAGATGTGCTAGGACCTCCAACAGTTTTCTCCTTCTTTGAAGGGACTACCGTGATGGTGTTCACACTGGGTCTAGGAATCCTTTAAATCAAGAAATCCCTTTGAATATCATTCGGATACTTCCTGGAGAACTTCCGAAGGATTTTGAGGTTCCTCTTGATCAAAAGAACTTCGATGAATAGGTTGCAGTAGTTAACCGGTACATCTTCTTGGCAGCGATATCCTTGTCGTTGACTTGTCTTGCAGTTTCTGGTATTGATGATTCATCCATCTTAACGACGGGTGTCTCATCAGTCCCAGTCTCCGCTTCTACAGCCAACTGCCTGAGAAGTCTCGCGACGTCACTACAGGCCATAGTGATGGAGTTCGGATCCCCAACCTCGCCAGGGTTAACACCCCTACCCATCATCTGGCAGGACACACTTTGCTTCGGAGGAGACATCAGGATAGCTACCGTGTTCGTCGTCGTAGTGCTAATCACTGTAGGTTCCATTTTGCGAATAGACTTGTAATTCGTATTGCACAAATAAATTTTTTTTGGGATATATGTATGCCTCTAAAATATCCGTGGAAACACAAATTGCACAAATAAATTTTTTTTGTGATATATGTATGCCTCTAAAATATCCGTGGAAACGAATCGATTTTGAAGCGGTTGAGGAGATTCGCAGCTCTCGGAGCGCATGGACATCGCTATAAAGATATATTATTGTATTTTGTTTCTAAACCACTTCATAATGATACACAATATTACTTTCATTTAACACTTAATGAGAATATACAAGGATACTTATTTTTAGAAGTAGTAACAGCCTGTTTTAAAAGTAAAATTCCAAAAGAATAAATAGGAGTGAATTAGACCATAAACTTGGTTTTGAAAAATATGTCATTTATTTTTGTTTTTAATCAGAAAAACTTTATAAACATAAATAAAGGTTTGGTCGTAAGTCACTCGAATTAGTTCGTTTGGAATTTTACAAAAACAGGCTGTAAGTCCTGAAAGAATACATACGATTGTAATTTGATTATAAACTTGTGGTAAATGTCCATAATATGAATCAAAACTTTCAAAATAATCCCCGTTTGTGTCTTTTTTTTATCACAAATTCCGATTGGATATTTACAGGTAAAATCTTTGTCCAATTTCAATTTCCCCACATATCCAGCCAACCCATATGGGACATTTGGCAACACTGGCTATATTTTTGTCAGTTCTTTTGTGTTTTGGCACATAACAGTAAAACCCCCCCAACAAAACACTATCAACTAACTGCCTGCCTCTGCTGCTTCCCTTCACAAAGTGCATTAGAAAATGCATTGGCTAGAAAGAGATGGATAGATACACAACAAATGCAGCCAAACATAAAATGTATACAACACATATATGAGAAAATGCAAAATAAACCAAACGATGGATGGATGAATGAAAACAAAAAACAAGGAAAGATATTTTACAATAAAACAAAAATTGAAAAAAATAAAATAATTCTTAGTTAATCCTTTTAATACGCAGTGTGGCTATAAAATGAAAAAAAAACTCCCTGTCATTTTACAATGACAGCCAGCAGTAATCATTCACAATAACAAGGCAGGACAGCAATAAAATGCAGTTTTTATTGGGGGAAAAATGACACCTCAATTTTTTACATTTGTTGTAAAGGATGTCTGTTTTTTTTCCTTTATTACCCTCCCCCATTCGATACACTGTTTTTCGTGTTTTCTTGCTTTTTCAAAATAATAGCCGCTTTTTAAGCAGTTGTTGTTTAGTGAATGGGTGTTTGCGGCGGCTGCTTGAAGGGATGCGTTGCGCTGGTTGTTTGATTGCTCTTGCTTACAAATTGCTGCCGCCGCCTCTGCTGCTATCTCCACCTCTTTTATGTAGTTTTTTGTTTGTTAGGTTTTCCTCTATTCACTTCTCTACTCGTTGAAAAGTCAACGAACGAAAAATTGTGGAACACAAAAAAGTACAAAAAAAAAGAAATTCCCAACTTTTGTTTTTCGCTTTGAATTTTTTTGACGAAAACGAAAACTTATGAGAATATTTGTTTGTTGGTTTTTTATTATTAATTATCTTTTATTGTTTAACACTCATCACTTTATGCTTCTTCTTTTTTGCCA